TTTGAGCTGTAGCACACCTCCACCAACACAGCACATGTGATGTCAAGAGTGCAGAGAGGGTGCAGGTGTTGTGGAGGGTTTGGGGGTCCAGTGGTGGGAGGCATGAGGGACAAGGGGCAGTTCCGTGCTGCAGAGGGTAGGACAGGAGCCAGGTTTGGTGTTTGAGGAGGAAAAGGGGGCTGGGGGAAGTGGGGTCAAGCTGAACACAGCTGTGGCCCAATGTGCTCACCCTCAAATCTCTCATCATCATCATCTCCCCCAGGAAGAAATGGCCATGGACAAGGGGACCCCCCAGGGATGGTCTCCCCTCTGGTCTGAGCTCAGCAGAGATAGATTCAGCTCCAGCCCAGCCCACAATGACATGAAGCCACAGGCCTGAGCTCCTTCTCTCTGCAACAAAGTTCCAAGTAAACATTTCTAGTGAATTTGGTTTTGCTTATTCTCTATTTTTATTAGAAAGTGCAAAGAACCGTAAACAAGCTGCTGCCATTTTGTGTCCCTCTCAGCACTCTGATCATCTCAAGCTCCAGTGTCCTCCCACTTCTGCCACAACGTCCTGGATAGAGTGCTTTCTGCCTCCCAGTTCATGTGTGATGAGTTAGACCTCAACCAGATGTTACGTGGGCAGAAATACCTATTTGAAGTTAAAAGCCTGTGATTATACTTGCCAACCAGCCATTAAGAAAGTATTAAATGGAGAAATTATCCCCCCTCTTGTTTTAATACAATAGCATCTTTATAACACACTTGTTTAAGTTGCCTACTTTTAATTTTAGTTCCCTTGTTTCTAATACTACATGCAGAAGCATTTCACTTTATCAATAGCTCCTGTGAGCTGGAAAAGAGTCATGGAGCAAAAAAAAGGCCAATATCCTTGAGAATTTAACAAAGGGGAAAAAATTAGCCAGAAGATCCTGCTTTCTCTCTCCTACTGTTAACATAACTTCTCAATTTACTTTATCAGATTGCCTTCCAAAGAAAAGGATTTTTCAAGAGGAGCAGAGATGAAAGGGGTTATTACTTAGAGAGACTCTTCTTTAAAGAGATAAAATATTTGGCAATTAAAGCACAAGGAGCTGCAGACTCACAAGGAAAGCAGTGACTTTGCTGGAGCAGTCACATTAGCACTTTCCACTAACCCCTCATTATGGAAAGTGATCACAGAGCTGTGAAGCTGCTGCTGCCAAGGGCAGGGCACGGGGCCACCAGCCACCTCGTGCTGCAGCCCCAGGAGCGGGGGACACGGGGAAGGGCCAGTCCGTGTCCCAGAGCCACCTCTGCCAGGGACCATGCGCTTGGAAATGAAGGTTTTTAGCCACCTCCTGTGGGGATGAGGACATGGCTGTCCCTAATGGCTGCAGGTCACAGGTCACCCTCCCACAGCTAAACTGGAACACGGCAGAGTCTGCCACTGGTGACCTTGAAGTCAAGGCTGAATTTTCCTGAAAACCTGTTATTTCAGAGGGAACGGCTGGGAGGGCAGAGACCCCGGCAGCCCAGGGGCCGTGGCTGCGCAGAGAAACGGGGAGCAGCCGCAAAAGTGGCAAAACCCACTTCCCACGGGGCACACAGGTCCCTGCAGCCGCTGTCACACCGGGCTCACACAGCAACTATTGGGGCACTCAGGGACCCAACAATCCCACCAGCTCTGGCACAACATTTGCTTTTTCCTCATGGGGTTGATAAATATTTAAACAAGAAAAAAAGAAGTGGATACACCTGGCAGGGGATGAGCCCCGGGACTGGCAAGCAGCCAGGTCTGTGTGATGCCCGAGGGGCGGCTGGGGGGGTCGGGCAGGAGCACGTTTCCATACGATCTCCTGTCTCTGAATCTCGGCTGCTTCTCCCCTTTGCCAGTGACGCCGCTCTCCTGTGGGTTATCAGGCAGCAGAGCTGCTCAATGTGCTTCCTCAGAGGTCTCACCCCACAGTCATCTGTCAAGATGGGTGGCAGCAGAGACTCATCTCCCATGGGACGAGGAGGTGCTGAGAAGGGCTGGTCCCAGCCCAAGGACAAGCCACAGGCCCAGCGAGCACCCACGCTCCTGCCACCATCACCTGTGTTGCGGTTCCCTTCCCGGGGTGGGCAGATGCCGTGCAGGGACTGGGGGCTCGCGGGGGTTTGCTCGGCCCTGGAGGCACCTGCTGGACCCTGGGGA